TATCTCATTCCATTCATCATACCACTTGTCATCAAATGACGCATCCTTTTTTTTCCTTTTCTTTCCTTCGTCGAGAAAACCCGTTTTTACTGTATGATACGTAAAAGGGGGAGGTCATTTTCGCGTAAAATCTTTGTTTTTCATTCAAATTAAGTGAAAACTTGTTCACGTAGGTAAAAACTGATGATGAATCCAATGAGCATAGTCTCTATAAGGCTCTCAGAAGGTCTCTGGAAAATTTCCCTTGAAAATCATAGTAAATATGAAAGTGCTGATAACATATGTGTTTCTTTAAGATAACTTGATTTGCAGTTGAGCTTAGTTAGTTTGGTATGCCTAAAACAAAAAGAAGGAACAGTCAATTGGATGATGCTAGAGATCGCCGTTGATCTAACACAAAGATTTCGGATGCAAGCGACTCGTCAGGTGACGAATATCGCATGGGATATTGACGATGAAGAATTAAATTTTAGTGAAAAACTTCTGGTAACCGACGTTGGTGATCTTGCTGATTTGTGTAAGTCGAAATGTGGCACGAAATATCTAAGTACTTTGATTTATATGACATTACGTTTCTTCAACATAAAATGGGAACATGTGGATGAATATTTGAAAAGTATTGGACTTAGCGTTTTATGAACTTAGCGAAAATGAATGGAAACAAGCTGTTCGGAAATATCAATCGCTAAGTTTTGATGGTGATGTTAATTATCGTGATCGAACAGCAACAGCGAGTATTAATATTGGAACAGACGCATATTTTGATAACGATACGATCCTAGGACAGTTTGAAAGACTGTTTCAAATGCGCGAATTCAAACAAGAATATAAAGATAACCAGGTAGAAATCATTGTGGGCAATGCAAGAACTCATACTGCCAAATCATATTCATTACAAGACTTTGGTAAAAATGTTGACACTCGTTGTCCTGTTGAACAAATCGAATACGTTGATGAAAATGGCGTAGCAAAAGTTGTTGATTGTTATTTTAGAGGAGGGGAAAACAAAGATAAATCAAAAGGTCTAGTTGAACTATGTAAAGATTTAGGTGTGCAGTTACCAGCTAAAATTAAATTAGACGAAATTGGTGAAATACTTTCAAGACATCGAGCTTTCCGAAATGTAAGTGAAAATCATTCCAGTTTTTAAGCGTATCGGAACTTTTCAACTTGTGCATATATGAAAACAATAAATAAATCAACAAAATGGAAAAAACAGTTTTTTAAATGGGATGGGAATTGTTAGTTCGTAATATTGGGCTATAGCATAATACCACCAACACTATCGATATAGACGCGACCTGAATGAGTGGTTTGGGCGTAGTCTGCCGCGAGAATACTTAACTCGAAGCTATGACCTAGGCGACTGTAGCGCATTTAATTAATTCCGAACATGGGAATGTTTATTCTGTTCGCTTTGAAATGGGACAAACTACATCTTTACAAAGGCCAAAAACACTTACATGAAAGATTTCTTTTTATTTGATTTCTTTGATTTTTGAAGATTTTTAGACAAATAAAGGAACGAGTACATTTGTTCAACAGACAACACGTCCACGTCATAGATCATCTTTATCAATTCCATCTATAACATCAGTTGAAGGACAACCATCAACAACAAATCGAGTTTTTGGAACATCGCCTCTATTCTAAAAAGAAGAAGAGCGAATAACGCCCTTTTGGGATCCCGAAAATATTTCGGTTTTCGTATTGGAAACAAGCTAAGAGTGACTCCTAGTGATATTCCAAAGGTTGATTTTGCAACAGTTCTCAATCGAATGTTGACCCACATCCGTACCCCCTACGGCAATGATCAAATTGCTTCTTCGCCACCACCGTGGGGGAGTACGGACATGGGTCCAAAATCACTTGGAAGATTTTTTAAAAAGTTTTGATGAAAATATTCACAATACCCATTGCCCATATTGTATATGAAATCTCAAAGACATTTCAGCCATGGGCCTGAAAGGGTTAAAGAACAAAAATCATTTATTGAAAGTTCTTTCGAACAAAAGTGATAATATGTTTATTTTCAAGTCAGAGTATTAGGCTTTATACCGTATTATATTGATGTACACATAATAATCTTTATCGATTAAATACTATTTACATTTATAAGAAAGAGAAATTGGTCTGTAATGCTGGGATTTTTTTGTTATTTATTCAATTCGAATAGTTAAAAATGAAAAAAATATTGCTGTTTTTTATGCATTATATTGTCGAGTAACATTTTCGAAAAATAAAGATTTATTTTATAATAAGAAAAATGACTTTGCTTTATTTTACACAACAAAATTCGAGAAAAAAATAAAAAATAAAGCAGAAGACTTTGATGATTTTCGTCAAGAATCGAATTTCGTTTTGATTACATAATTACTCAAAGAGTTTCTCTTTTATTGTAGACAATAATATCTTATTGGATACCTTGTTTTAAAAAGGTTTTGAACATTTTTTGGAAATTTCTTGACGAACAAAAAGTGACAATGTAAGTTTCAAATAGATTTAATAACTTCTCTCTTTTTTAGTTTATTTCTGATCATAATCATTAATTGTATCAATTGAAAAACTACCTTTGTATCATATTATTTTATATTTTTCTGTTCCATTATATTTATTTCGAAGACTTGCTTGATGAAAAATGTTTTTCTTATTATAATGATGTCATCATCTCATCGATATTTACTTTATTAATATCAGTATTTTTGTTTCGTCGATTAAACATTTTCCAATAAGAATTTAGTGAACATACAATAATCAAGAAATTATTACATAGAACTTGCATTCCTTATGCACTCAACACATCTTCTTAATATATACAGGCAAGTACTCAATGATAGTTAGGGAAGCCGTCAAAACTATGAACGAATCAATCGGATCAAACGAATCATTCGAATCATTCGGATCATTCGTAGAATAATGTAAAGCGCTCCTCTGTGATGTTTGTATAAGAGAGAAAATATATAAAATCTATCTTTTCTTATCCATTTTATTCATTCTTTCCAATAGATTACTTTATATTAACTC